AGGATAGACATGAATCTGTTTTAATTCTTTCAAATAAATACTATAAAATTGCATGAATTATCCTTAAACAGACCAAGGTGGAGAAGGTTGCATTATAAAAACATACTTTTTGACATCAGACAATACATTTTGATGTTAAACCCACTATTGTTTTATGTCTGATCTCATGACATTTCACACTACATATTTTACAATCATTCATACGAATTTGTACGAGTGTAGTCGTACGATTTAGACACCTCATAAAATGCATACGAATTGCTGTTAGATCTATACACCTCAATTACATCAAAAGTAACTGTAATTATGAGGTGTCTAAATCGTACGACTACATTTGTACAAATTCGTATGAATGATTGTAAAATATGTGTGAAAAAAAGTGTGAAATGTCATGAGATCAGACAATAGTGGGTTTAACATCAAAATGTATTGTCTGATGTCAAAAAGTATGTTTTTATAATGTAACCTTCTCCACCTTGGTCAGTTTAAGGATAATTCATGCAATTTTATAGTATTTATTTGAAAGAATTAAAACAGATTCATGTCTATCCTTATATTATTCAGCTGGTTGACAAGAGGAATTAGTAATTACTTAAAAGTAATTAAATACTTTTTAGAGAGAGTAATTAGTACAGTAATCTAATTACACTGTTGAAGAGGTAATTAGTAACTAGTAATTAATTACTTTTTTAGAGTAACTTACCCAACACTGGAGACACTATTATAATATTTTGAGAAAGTCTTTATTTTTTTTAGTTTTATTTTTCATTTTAATTTTAGTTTATTTTATCTATTTTTTTTTTTTTTTTTTACTCAACGTGATTTCATGAGTATTCATCTTTTACATAACGTGTGGTTATTTCACTGACACTGAAACGTACAATACTGATGTATCGATAGCACTAAAATGTCAACTATTTACACATAAACAACTTCGTAGGACCACTGTCGTCAAATACGATTGACAATAGCTGTGTTCTGGTTGTTAGTTGGGTTGTTTTGGAACAGCGCAATAGTGTTGTACTCTTTGAGGGGGCGTGGCCAACTTCTCATTCTGGTCACACACACACTGCGAGTATGGTCACATGAGATTGTTGCCTCATTGGTGCTGGGCAGAGTGCATGCGAGTGACATTGCCCATGGACACAGACTTGTGGAATGCATTGAGAGAGAGAGAGAGACGAAACAAGAGGTTGTCATGGCAACAGGGCCAGATTGGTGAGAGAGAAGAGGAGATATGAGAGGGGAGATATGAAGGAGAGAGGGTTGTGCCTGTGCATACATAGACGGACAGATCAGTGAGAGAGAGAGAGAGAGAGAGAGAAAGAGAGAGAGAAAGAAAGGGCAAACAGATCTATAGAGGCTCGGTTGTTCCAATAAAAGCTTCACACTTCAGATTAAAAATGTGTGAGCCAGCTGGCCTCCACATCCTGAAGGAACCGAGGGCTGAAGAGTTTGTGTGGATGCGTCTAAGTGATCTGTTCTCAATAACGTACACATACTGTATGTACTTACATTTAGTCATTTAGTCGATTTACAATGAGAAAAGTGATCCTCTCTCGATAGCTTTGGAACACATGACATATTGTATACCTCACACATTCTGATCAATTCCACCATTGGCCATAGACAGAACTCAGCCCACATGGAGTTGGTGCCCAAAGAACTCTGAAGGATCTGTGCAGAATTCGCTCAGGGCTGTATAAGAGGAATGTTCTGGGTTCAGTACAAGTTAAGCTGTTGAGTTTAAGGGTAGAAACCTGTTTGTTTTCATGCCAAGAGTTCAAAAGAAAGCCTCCATTCAATTATTGTATAATTATAATAATTATTATTTCATATGGAAATGGAGGCGCCCTTATATGGGCAGTAATGGAGTCTGGTTGTGCCCTAGTGAAAAAGTTTGGTACTGCGCCCTCACTGAAAGCTCATTTTTTGAGATATCAACCTAAAATTTAAAACACAACTTATTCAGATTTTTGGCTTTGATTTTTTAGCAGTTTTAGAGTCGCCAGGATTTGAAAATATATATTTTATATAAAACATGAATAATTACATTTTTTATATTGTACATTTTCATAAACTCAAACTTCTATAACTTTTCTTCAGTTTCCCATTCTTAATTTATTTCACTTCTACAAAAATCTGCCAAATGTCTTCTTTAAAACGAGACCATTTTTACGTCTATATTCCAAAGCATTCTTGAATTACAACCATTAAAGTTCAAAATGTGCATTTTCATCTATATTCAAAAAAGGGGGGGGTGACACTTAAGGGGTTAAGAAAGGCAAAACATCGGGTTTATAATGAGGCACTTATGATAGAAGTGAACAGGGCCAATTCATAAACAAAACTGAAATTGTTTACATTTACATAAACCGTTTATAGCCAAAAAAAACGTGTGCGTCACACAATGATTTTAATGTGAAAATATATATATATTCAAATTTTCATTTAAAGGAGCGGTATGTAAGATTGTGGCCAAAACTGGTACTACAATCACTTTCAAATTACTGTAGAGCGGTGTATCAGGGCCATTTTATGATTATTTGAAATTGAAATAAATTCTCCGCCCAAGTAGCAGTGCTTCGCCTTTTGAGAATATAGTTCCCAATATTTATATGGTTAAAAGATGGCTGTTTCTCATATGACCTTGTTATTTGTACAATCTGTCAATATACAAGAAATCACATCATGTAAATAGGAAAATGTTTGCAATATTTTGTCACTTATTTGGGATTAGTGCTAGCTACAATGCTAGCTGTATCCATTTACATCCAGTTTTTGTGCTAAGCTAGGCTAGCGGTAGGTGCGTCAGACAGAGTTACAGAAAAAGGACTTATCGAACTCTAGAGGATATGGTGAATAAGCTTTTTGTAAAAGTTTTTGTAAAGTTATATCCAAGTAACCTGTACTTTGGGTTTTGCTTTTTCTAAGAAAACAAGGGATGTCGATAATTGTTATTATCTTCTAATCAACAAATGTTGTGGAACTTTGTACTGAACCTGGAATAATCCCTTAACTGTAATATTCCTTTATCTGTTTAAGTCATAATTGTTCCAAATTGTGCTTCTCCCAACAAAAAAACAGCAGAAAATGCAGAAAAGTCAGGTTCAGGCCCAGTAGTCACAATCCAACACACTTACACATTATGCCACATTGCTATCTGTAACCTCTCTTATTAGGTACATAGATCTGATGCCCTTCAAAGGCGGCTTCCTGGGGTGTAACTCAACCTGGAAATGAAGACATGTTCTATTTCTCAAAAGAGAAAATACCTCAAATCGATGGATATTTCAGATGACTGTTCCCTCCATAATGATAGCTTTGGTTTGATTCAAGTGAAAGATTTCTTCCTGCTAAAGGTCAATGAGTTCACTGACACTGACATTATAGTGAGAAAGCTTTTGGGAAAGGGCACAATGGGATTATGAGTCTTATATTGTCACTGATAGAATGCATTAGCAGAGGAATCGTAAGAGGAAGCTTCCCGTCAGCACCAAACCATTTTACTTATGTATTAAGCCGAGGGAAACGATATCTGCTGTGGCTGGAGTCTATCGATGTTTACCACATTTGTTTTCCTTTAGATTAGATCACTGGTTGTGTCTTTAATGCATAGAGAGTCTTTAATAGAATGATTTTTATTATTATTAAAGGAACATTCCAGGTTCAGTATACCGGTAAGTTAATATCCATTGACAATTGTGGCATAATGTAATCAAAATGCTCAATGTTTCAACAGTATAGCCAAAGATGTAAACAAAATGTGTGTTAAAGGAACTCTGTCATCATTTACTCCTGTTGTTCTAAACCTGTTTGAGGCTCTAAAAAGTAAGATATTTTGGCAACCAAACAGTTGACGGTAGCCACTGACTTCCATAGTAAGAAAAAAAATGGCTATCGCCAACTGTTTGATTACAGACATTCTTCAAAATATCTTCTTTTATGTTCAGCAGAAGAAGAAGAGAAAAAAATCATACATTTTTGGGTGAACTATCCCTTTAACATGAATCATAATTGGAGTTTGGAAGAAAAAAAACTGTAAAACAACTGTAAAAAATTATTTATACAGCTCAAATATTACAATAAGTTTTAACAATAATACAAAAAGTTTTTTTTATAATTACTATTTCATGTTATTTATTCACTATTGTATATAAATTCTAGGGCTGTCAAACGATTAATCGCATCCAAAATAAAAGTTTGTGTTTACATAATATATGTGGGTGCACTGTGTATAATTATTTTGTGTATATATATATATATATATATATATATATATATATATATATATATATATAAAAATACACACACACACATGCATGTATATTTAAGAATAAAATATTATATATTTAAAATTATATTTATATATAAAATATTTGTATTTACATATCATATAAATTATATATAAATCTATACGGTATAAACAAGAAAATATTTCTTAAATATATACAAGCATGTGTGTGTATTTATATATAAAATAATTATACACAGTGCACCCACATATATTATGTAAACACAAACTTTTATTTAGGAAGTGATTAATCGCGATTAATCGCTTGACAGCCCTAATAAATTCATATTACTACAAACTATCTTCACATTGCATGGCCCCCATTTAATCTCATTTGCAAGAGCCGCATCTATATTTTTTTAAGAAAATGAAATAAACTGAACCTGGAATAGTCCTATAAAAAATATATATATATATGACCAAATGTAAAAAGGTTTGAAAGTCTCTTTAAAACCATATGTATCCTTACTGAGTTCAATTCATTATAGCTCATAGTTGCAGCCACAGGAACTATAAAGCACTGTTGTCATGTAACTGAATCATCTTACACAGAACAGTACAGTATATATTTGTCTTGCATAAAAGTAAAGTGAAATTACAGCAGATCACAAGCGTTTTAATTATAATCCATATACGGTTATAATTACAATGGAAATGCCACTCTTTAATGAGTGTTTCAGCTTATCAGGGTTTGTGTTGTACTCACTTTACGCTCCTTGTCTCCGTACTCCAGCCCCAGTGTGTCCATGGCACGCACGATAGCGGCCAGAGACTGGATGGTGTTGCTGAAGACCACTGGCTTGTACTGCTTCACGTCATCACCAGAGAAACCGTCCTCATGGATAATCCTACACACATAACAGAAGCCATGTTAGACGACATGCAGTTTTCTGATCCATCACGCAGCTGTCCTACCCTGCTCTCAGTCTTGATACATTTAAATAAAGTTTACTTTAACGCCATTACAGTTAATTCATACATAATTTCCAAACTGAGTGACAATTAGATGTAACATGATCTAAATCAGAGGCACTCAACTCCATGAGACCAAGGGGATCAAAACCAAACGATGAGATTATAATATTTTTATTGGAAGACTGAATGCTATTCAGACTAGATTTGTTAACACAACCATATTCGTTCAAATCACGTAATTCAAACATCTGGTCACACAACCTCTGTAAAATATTTACAGAGCTACTGTTTTTCCACAGAGATTCACAATGTTCCTCCCTATTTATTTTTGCTTCCATTCATTCAATATCTTGTGACTACCATAACTAACTTTCTGGGTAAAATAGGCAGTGGTTCAAGTATTGTTGGCATCTCATACACTGTATGCACACATATTATCCAGACTGTTCTCAGGTAAATGCGTCTCTATTATTCGCATTGTGTATTATCGTGCAATTTATACATGAAAATGAGTTTTTACGTGCATTGGATACGCAATTTTCACGTGCATTGATCCGATACGCAATTCATTTGTGTAATACACACGCCCACCACACTAATTCTACCCAAACGAATAATACACACGCAACCCCACACCACTACTAAACCTACCCTAACCAACCCATGCACGTAAAAACTAATTTTCGCATATATATTGCATGATAAACACACCGTGTGCTATAGACGCATTTAGTGTGATCGGGTTGTATTATCCATTCGTTTCTTCAACCTATTGGCAACACTCACTTTTTAAAAATACAAACACTCGCATCTTAGTAGTTAGAGATACAAATCCCATCCAGAGATCAGTAAATTTGACAGTAGCTGATTTCACCTTATGTGTCTGTCAGTCAGTCAGTCAAAAATTTTAAAAAAGTGTTGCCTGTACATTATGTTACGCAAAACATTTCGAAAAAGCAATCAAGGACCTGTAATATCTGGATGTCGCATTCACACAGGCATTTTAGTGATAAAGCCTTTAGATTCACACCGTCAATGTGATATATGATGCGAACAGTCAAATTAAAAGCAACAACTTTTTAATTAGTATACATTCATAACGAAGCATGTCAAAAGCCACATGTCAAGTGCCTCAATGAATGATTAATGATTTTATTAGTTGAGTTAGTCACAGTCTCTTCACTTTGTGTTACTGAAAAACCAGCGGAAGATGAAGTTTCGTGATGAGGAAGGGGTATTAATCATCATGTTCGGTGGATTACAGCATATTTTGTGTCTCTATTATCCAACACAGCGTGTCCATCCTCTAGATTCCTAAGTTATGTTGTACATTTCCGTGGGTTTTACTTCCTCTTATCACTCGCTCTCAGTCTCACATTTAAATTTGAACCTCGTTGCCCATTAGCTACAATAATTTTTGCGATAGACAGCATGCCGGACTTTGATGTGTGGAAAGTAGAGCATTCAGAACAGCAGTGATGGGTTTCTCACTGAGAATATGACCCCGCTGGAGCCAAACCACAAAGGGGGGCCCCAATGGCAGAAGGTTATTCTATGGCTAAAACCCCTAATTCAATTGATTTAGCTGAAATTAGGTTTGGACATCTGTCAGTTCTGCAATACTGAAAGATGGCAAGTCATTTTTAAATCATGAGGCTTTGACACCCCTTTTCAAATAATAGGCTACATACATATATATTATATGCATTTCTTTGATGGACAATGGCATTGTCTGGCTTGAAAGCGAAAGCCGATGAATTATCACATTAGCGCTCGGCTGGTCTTAGTAAATGGTGTTAGTGCGGCATGAGAAAAGCCAGCCAGACTGGCAAAGCCTGGCATTATTCAGACCCAGACATCACACTGGTTTATTAGACTGGAGCCAGAGAGAGGTGTGATGAAGCCTTTGTTTGGGGATGATATTTTTGACCACTTGTATGCACACACATTCATACACACACATAATCCCAGGTGACCTGAGGTCTATCATTAGCTCAGCATTGCACTTAGTTCAACCAAAACCACTCTTACTGTGAATTTGTGAAATTAATTTAAATCACAATAACACAAATATATATATCAATATCTAATAGAGCCCGACCGATAAAGGATTTTGAAGGCCGATACCGATACAAATCGGCTGATTTTTTTTTAAAATTAAATATTGTTGGATTTCACACACGTGTGAAAGAAAAGCTAACTTTTCTGCACAAGATACGTTTGATACTTTTTCTCTATGTCTAAATGTTCACTCCTCGCAAGTATAACTTACATTTTACAATGCAGAGACTGTAACTAGAGATATGCTAAGTTATAAATACAGTAATATTTACTTTATTTAGGCAGAAAAAGTTCATTGTGGTTTCCAAGCTCATTAATGTTAACGTTAGCGGTCTTCCACTGATGATAGTGGCATTAGCTAGCTTTGTGGTTAGCTAGTCTATGATGAGCCATAATTTAGCAATAGATAACCTCATACTGCAAATTGTAAAACATACATTTTCAATATAACAGGCCAAGGAGAGATGATTAAAGCGTGTTTCGTCCGTTTTTATTTTATTTTTTTAATATTCATTTATCGGCCATTATAACTGCCGATACCGATATTATGGAAAATGCCTAATATCGGCCGATAATATCGGTCTGGCTCTAATATCTAATATCTAAATAACGCTAAAAATGTAATATTTAATTAAAAATCAAAAACAATTTATAACACACAAAATAAAAATATCCTGAAAACGACTATGGTAAAAGAGTTTTTCCTCTATCATTTGTGCTACTGCTCTTTTTCTGACTGATTTTTATGAGATGAAACTGATTTAAACTAGTTATGAAAATGTTTTATAGCATTACAAAAGGTTCTATCAGCGCTACGTATTTGGAACCCCTAAAAGGTTCTATACACTCTTAAAAAAAGGATTCCTCTGGGTTCTATATAGAACCCTGGGGTTCCATACTTGGCCAATAGAACCTTTTACCAAAAATAATGGTTCTATATAGAACCATTTTGGAGTTCCATATATGAAGCGGGGGATGGAACCATTTCTGGTTCTAAATAGAACCATTTCTTCTAAGAGTGTGTGAGCAATAACAGCTAATGCTAGCAAACCAATGAAAACCATATGACCATTCCCCGAATCTCCCTATATATCCGTCTGTCTGTCACTCTTTCACTTTTCTCAGATGACCACTAAATAATTCAGGTGATAAAAATAACAAATGTTTAGGGTCTTTTGAAAGTCGCAATATAAATAAGGACATCGGTCTTTGATTCCCGCGGGAGGATGGAAACATTGATCTGTTTCAATTTTAAATGTGAGACACTGAAAGTAGACTCTCACTCAGAGGGCTCCTATTCCAGTCGACCTGGCAAAGACTCACACACACACACACACACACACTCATGTTGAGTTTTCACTTTCTATGGGGACTTTCCATAGACAATATGTTTTTATACTGTACAGACTGTTTATTATATCACCTGTGACAAAAGTCCTAATTTAGCCCTGATGGCAGTGTAGGCCCCTGTGTTTGTTTGGTTTATATTATTTCTATAAATTATTTGGTAACTTTTTTCTAGTCTGAGGTGCACATTAGTCTAGACTGATAAAAAAAAAAAAACACCAACACCATCTCTTGGTGTTTTTTGGGGGATTTACATAAGTCATTAGTTTTATCCTCATTTGCAAAACTTACCATGTCTGCAGCATGGTTTCCGGGGGTGGGTGTTTAAGAGGACGTGCGGCCTTCCTGTTCCTCATTTTATGTCATCCCAAAGAATTCTGGGTAGTTTAGGCTTTGTCCATTTCTCAATGGGAGCAGGGGGTTATTGTTTCATGTTTTATTGCGTTTATGTTTATTGTATGTAGAAATGTATCTGTTTATTATTTGTATTATTTTTCTTGTATAATTTTAGGTTGATGTATTTTGAATATTATTTTCATTTTCAGTGTAGTTATGTATGTGAACATTATTTAAATTCCCTACTACTGTAAAATGGTTGACCCTTTCAGTATAAAGGAATGCATGTTTGTCTGTGAAAGCAGTCCTGGTGAGGGACCTTCATGAGGAGGGTCACCTTGAGTGTTGTTTATGTTATTTTTTATTCTTTATTTGGAAGTCAATAAAGATTTCACTGACTGCAAGCAGTGTCTCCTGCATTTGCTCTGGTCATGTCTTCACATCACTTAACACTAAATCTTATAGGGTCTAAAACGTTTATGTTCAGAATCATGGGAGAAATATGACCTCTATTTTATACAAAACAATCATGATTCCTAATTTATCCAGAATCATAGCGTTGGGTCTTTTTTTATTTTTTTATGAATACTTTTATTGAGTGAGAATGCATTAAATTGAGCAAAAGTGATAATAAAGAAAATTAGGTATCAAATAAATGCTGTTTTTAACTTTCTATTCATCAAATGTGGGTTACAATTTGTTTTTCCTTGTTAAAGGGTCGTCTTAACACATACATAAACGCAAGTTTTATGAAGGTCTTAATGCAAGCAAAGAACAGTGTTTTTTTTTTTTTTTTTGCTTGTTTTTTCTTCTTCTAAATATTAAGCTAATATCATAACACAAGCCCAGACGGTAAGTTCACCCTATTGTCAAATGAGCAGCAAAAACCACCAGAGAATCTCACAAACATTCCCACACAAGAGTAAGTTCTATAGCTTCGGGGATCAAGTTTTAGGACCCACATGAAAAAGAGGATAATTAAGAGTTGTTACAAGAAGGGAGAAGTTGTTCCAACCCCATATGAATTTCTTACTTCCAACACAAAAATACTGGTTTAGAAGAATTTCCAAGTTCCCCTTTTCCATATGATGAGAGTAAATGGGGACTGAGACTTTAAAAAGGAAAAAAGAACATAGTCCATAAAGCGTTTGCACTATATTTCAATATTGTGAAGCCATTTAATAGCTTC